CTGAGAGAAAATAATTATTAAAAATCGAGCACATTTCATTCTCTTTGTCAGTAAGGTGCCCATAGTTATTTTTAAGGGGACCTATCTTATCTCTAACTTTTGTTCTATAGACCTGGAAAAAACTTTTTGGGTTAGTTTTAGAATCCCTAGCAACTTTAATTTCATAGTCCCTTTTTTAGCTTTTCTTATCCCCTTTTTAATGTCCCTCTTAATGTCAATAATACTGATTCATAAGATGGCCCTCACCTCTTTTGATACGCCTGTAAATTCCTTTCTTATGCCCTAGTAGATATTTCAGCCTATTATTCATCCATTTTGGGTCATTTCTATTTGATCTAATTTCTTTATATGGGATAAACGTTCTTTGAGCAGCATGTATAGTGTTCAGAAAACTGTCATATTGATAGCTCACTTCGTTACCCCAGTCAACAGATGTAAGTGTTCTCTAAGCCCATCGTAATCTGCTAAGCGAAAATCTGGGACTGTTACTGAGTTATCGCTACTATCGTACTTCTATTCAATGCTGAATGTAATTGATTTGTGGTCGCTAGCACCCAGTTCCTCTGAAATTTCTAAATTATTAACAAGGGATCATTGTTTGCCATAACTAAGTCAAGCAGGTTATTTCCCCTTGTAGGTTCTGTCACAAACTGCTTCAAAAAAACAATCCTGAACTACTTCTAAGAAGTCGTATGATTCTAAATTCCCAGTCAAGAAATTCCAATCAATATGACTAAAGTTAAAGTCTCCTAGAATTACTACATTATCGTGCCTTGTGGCCTTAAACAATTTCCTCCCATAGTAGTCTCCCTTGGTCCCTATCTAAGTTTGGGGGACAGTATATCACTCCTAAAATCAGTTTTTCATGCCCCTCTGAAAATTCTATCCAAACAGACTCTGTATGTGTTACTTCAGACTTAATACCCGTTTTTATGCAACAGTTCAAGCGATCTCGGACATACAATGCCACCCCACCCCCCTTCCCGATACTTCTATCTACTTGGAACAATTTAAAACCCTGAATAGACTTTCCCGCGGCATTCCCGATTTTTTTGAATTAAAACCACGTCTCAGTTAAGGCAAATACATCAATTTTACCTCACTAGAAAATAATCTCAACTCGTCCATCTTTTTCCTAGCACTCGGAAAATTAGCATAATAAAATGAAAACTCTCCTTTCTTTACCCTTCCCTGCTCATTTTTTTTTTCTACTAAACTATTACTGTCCTTATCACCCGGGCCCCTGGTTTTTTCAATATCTACCTTTTTTGCTATTACTATTCCCCTAGAACTTGTAATATTACACACGGGGAAATTTCACTTTTTTTTCCGCCCCCAAAACCCATACCACAAACTATTCCTAGTTTAAAGTCCTAACTGCTCCCTCCACGCATTGCCAGTGCTACCACCCCAGACCTGAAAAGTAAACCCCCATCCCGGGCAACATGTCATTTCTGCCTAGAAAGGCCCCCTTGCCCAAATTTTAGCATTTTCTTACAGTATTTGTCCGGGCCACGTTGCCCAATTGCCCGGGGACAACCTTTTCATTTCCAACCCCTTTCCCCTTTGGGCAAAATACCACATATACGGGTTCCCACCCTTCTCCAAATTATTTTCTATTGTGACCTATACCTCAATCAGGTCTTCACTCCTACGTCTCCCACATCGTTCCTCCAGCACTGAGACAGAAAAAGGGATTGCTCCCATTACCTCTCATGATGATCCAGAGGGCTAACAATATCCTCCATCCCCCCCCAGGAAAGCAAACCCCTATCTCCACTCCTGCCCTTTCAAACAGAATCCCTATCCATATCCCTAACTTGGCTATCCCCAAAAACAACAATATTCTTCCCTTTTCCTTGGGTCGTTGTCTGATTTCCCCAGTGTCGACTACATCTGGGGTACACTGGAATGTATTAGATTTTTCCCCAAACATTTCCACGGCAGCTCTTTCTTTTTCATCGTTTCTATTTTTCCATTCGTCTTCTTGATCGTAAAATTTTGTTCCATGCTGTCTAGCCACTCCAGTTTCCCTTTTTGCCCTGGGGACCAAAACAGGAGGATACTACGAATCTCTTTTTTCCCTCGGTCATCGCCAATCCCAAAATTTTCGCTACCCCAAATTTTTCCCTTAAAAGCTTTTGGTAAAGTTCTCGATGGGGGCATCTTGCTTCAATTTGTAAGAGGGCAAACAGGTCTTCACAGAGCAAAAACGCAACACTGGGAAAGAAAACATCATATGTGCGAAGAAGGGGTTATATGCGGGAGGGGGTGGGGAACACCCGGAGGGTTTGCCATTTTAATTTGTAAACAATTTTACGTGAGAAATTCAGCTAATAATTCAGTATCTTGACCAAAATTGGGGGTTTTTCGACCTAAAATTTGTAATAGGAACCGTTTTTTAATGTCCCCTACTAAAAAAATTTAGTTAGGTATTTTCAGGACCTCAAAAAATGTGTTGATGGCAAAAAATAGGGGATACGACTACACTCACAGGGAAGTGCTAAAAGTCCTTGCTTAGATCCCCCGCTGGCCCTGTTTGGGTCAGGTGGGAAAAAAATTATCAAATACCCCACAGTGGAAATAAAACAAAACATATAAGGTCCTTTTTTGACAACTTTTTCAGACACAGTGGGGGTTTTTTCAAGTCACACACAGTCTACCTGGGGTGGGAAAGGGACGGGATATTTAAGTCATGTTCAGAATGTTGAGGTCAGTGGAGAATGCTGCACTGGATCTACCGGGTGGTCCACTCGGTAAACAAAAAGGGTCACATTTTTGCATATGGGTTTTTAATTTCCCGTTTGGGGCTAGGGGTTAGGTGGTGGGGTGAGATCCACCCACATTAAAATTTAAAGGTAAGTAGTTTTAAAAAAATTTTTTTTTTTTTCGTCCCCCAACCTAGTCATATACTCCCACAAATTTTTAATTTTCCAGAGTAGCGGTTTTAATATTGTAATTATTAAATTTTAAAGTCAGTTTTACTTTTTGTAGAGTGGGGGGTTTAGGGAGTTCGTTCGGGGACCAGATTTCTTGCAACAATAATTTAGTAATACCCCCTTAACTTTTTGCAGGTAAAATTTTTTTTCACATAATAAAATTCACCAAGGTTTTGGTCCTAATGAACTGATATTAATCAGGAAAAATTTTTTTAATTTAAAATTTTTTTTGAAAGAAATGGATTGTTTTTTCCAAAAATAGTTGGAATAGCGGGGTTGTATTTCTTTTACATTTGTTTTTATACATTGGTTGTGGAAAAATTTAGCTAATAATTTGGCTCTTCTGAGCCAAATTGGTTTTTTTTTTTGGCCTAATTTGTAATAGAAGCCCGTTAAAGTCCCCTTCTTTAAAAATTGGGGCAGGGAAATTTTTGGGGCCCCCAAGCATATTTGGGGATCCAGAAGATAAGGGGAAAGAGCATCACTCACAGGAAGTGACCATTTTTCTTTGCATTTAATCCCTAGCTGGCCATGTAGAGTCTAGGTGTCGGGAGGGTTGTGGTTGATCTATCTACAGTAATTAAATGAAGGGTAATTTGAACTTTTTTTAGTACCGCAAGACAATTTATATACAATTCAAGATTTAATTTTTTTTTTTCCAGATTAGTTGGTTTTAATATTGTAATTATTAATTTTTTGCAAGAGTGGTGAAGAAGTGGGCATCGAAGGAGTTACAGTTCGGCGACCTACTGTAACTTTAGTCCCACTTTCTCACCCAAGTTACTTGCACATAATAATTCACGTAATACCCTGTCATCCTCATGCAAGTAATTTACATAATTCACAAAAATTATTATATTATTATTATTGTGTTGTTGTTATTTTAAGCATGGGACAAAATTGTTAGGCTTTATTATAAAATAAAATAAAAATATAGAAGTCATAGATTACTGATAAATTATTTATTATATGTAATTAAGTTTCTATATGACTCACGAAATCGTAATGGGTATGGTTTGTTTGCAATCGTGTCATTACGATTTCGTGAGTCATGTTGACGGCAGTGAAGGGACTTGAGCTAGAGTTCGTCACGGCCACGCTAGCTGGAGATTCGTCTGTAAAAACTTGCATTTGTGGTCACAGTGGTGGCCTGTGCTAACCTTCCTATGGTGTAGAAATATACCTAGTTGGATTAATGTTATTGTGGCTAGCTGACCCAGTGGCTAACACGACGGTCTGGAGTTTTGAGACTCTCTGACCACGGGTTCAATCCCGGCAGGGGTATGGTAAGTTTCTATATATTATAGGAAGAATGATATCCTGACTGCGAACATGAGTCACATGTGAGGAGGTAACTGTCTACACATATGTGTTTATTCTTTCATTAGGCAGCGATACCGGAGTAAATTTATTTCGTATCACATGAAAATGTATTTGAAAGTTTATAGGAATGTAAGTTTCGTACGTCCGACAGCGTTGCGGAGATGCGGTTGCCAGCTTTATTTCTGGACGATGAAGTTGGAAGCAATTTTGTAGCACTCACAAAAATAAACATCATTAGCTTTGTGTAATTTGTTAACTTTAAGCGGACATTTCATTTGTGTTAAGTAAGTTAGTGAAACAAGCAAGAATGTAGCGACGATTCATTTTGAAAATTCTTTTGTTGTGAGTTGCCACTACGTATCTGGGAGCTTTCGAAACACGTCATTACCTGCATTTTCTATAAGAAATGCAAAAATATTAATGAAAGGTGAAAGAGCCATTGTTGTATTGGGTACTGAAGTGCAGTCGATCCTGCCATATATGGAGGTTGGCCAAGAGGGCTTAATGCTCTCCTATATGAGTTCCATTTTAAATTTCTCGAATAATATGTATTGTTTCATCCTTAACAACTGTAAAAGAATATATGTATGTTATAAATGGACATGGGGATTAACTACAAAATTAGTTATAAGCCGAGAAGAAAAAAGATTTTGGTTGATGCTAAAATAAGCGTAGGAGTAATGCTGTATGAGATGTTGGTAGTGGTTGTGTGGCAGCGTCGGGGGGGCGGGGCGGGGCGGGGCGGGGGCGGGTCAGTGCTGTGCCGCTCTGCTCCTCGACCGGGTGTATCTCGCCGCTCCCGGTGTGGTGGTTGTGTGGTGTTGTGGTGGTGCCCGTCCTCCCCCTCACTAGCGATAATTTTGTGACAACTTCCCTCCAACAGTTCTTGGAGAACGACATGGAATACCAGAACGACCAAGAGTACATGGAGCCTGAGGAGGAGTGGGAGCGCGAGGGCCTCTTGGACCCCGCCTGGGAGAAGCAACAGAAAAAGGTTGGTGCTGAGGCTTTCAACCTCCCTCCTCACCGCCCTTCCCGATAACCATATCATCACTGCCATATCTAATCTCGGCAGCACACTGCTTCATACTAACACCGACACGACGCACCTTGTCTCCCACGAACCTCGCAATTATGTTCTGATTACGTCGAAAACTATTGGTTTACAGCTAAACTAAAAAGAAAATTCGACATTTCCGCGTCGCACTGAACACCGCTTAGGGAGTAACTCCTGGAATTTGGTGAATTCATTGCCAACGAAACGCAACGAAAAGGAACACGCTCGTGGTCAAGTGTTGAAAGTGTTCGTTAAGGTGATTACCTGCCGTTAGTCTCGTAATAGTAAGAGGTGAAGGGCCGTAGGTGGTGCGGCCTAAATTGAGGTGGAGCAGAGCACAGCCTCCCGGGCATCAGTGCTCTGCACGGTAAACACAGCCACACCGGTCGCCACCGGGACTCAACCACCGTTAACACTTTAAACTACAGTCCCACCGGTATTGCTAGAGGACATACTGGTACAGCACGGCTGCCACCAGTATTTGCCAAGGGAGGTGCTGATATTTTACAGCCACCAGTACCTGCCTGGTACTACCTGGTAGTGCACGGCTGTCAGCGCCAGTCAGTACTGCACAGCCTCTGTCGGAAGGTACTGGTGCTAAACAACCACCATTACCTGCCAGGGAAGGTGTGCTATGCGAAATATAAACCCCCAACTGGGTATACAAAGGTGCTGGTATTATAGAGCCACCAGTACCTGCCAGGGGTTCTCGTACTAAACATCCACCAGTACCAGCCAGAGAAGTTGCTGGTATTGCACAGCCACCAGTACCTGCCAGGGAAGGTGCTGGTACTACATAGCCACCAGTACCTGCCAGGGGAGTTGCTGGTACTACACTAGTACCTGCCAGGGGAGGTACTGGTGCTACACTGCTATCAGTTCCTGCCAGGGAAGGTGTTGGTACTGCACAGCCATCAGTACCTGTCAAGAGACCTACTGGTCCTACACAACCACCACTACCTGTCACGGGTGCACTGGTGCTAGTCACCAGTACCTGTCACGGGTCTACTGGTGCTACACAGTCGCTAGTATCTGCCAAGGGTCTACTGGCGCTAGACAATCACTAGTATGTCACGGGTCTACTGGTGCTAGACAGCCACTAGTATCTGCCATGGGAAGTACTAGTGCTACACAGTCACCAGTACATGTCATGGGTGATGCTGGTGCTAGACCAGCATCACCAGTGCCTGCCATGGGAGGTACTTACACTAATTACCAGTACCTGCCAGGTGTGCTACCACCAAGTTGGATATTACAAACCAGGAAGAACCATTGTCATCCAAGCAGGGCCACAATCGACATGGCAATACCATTGTATACATGGCAGGGTCATAATGTATTGGCAGGCCAGAGTCTACCATGACTCACGAAATCGTAATGACACGATTGCAAACAAACCATACCTCGGCCGGGATTGAACCCGCGGTCAGAGAGTCTCAAAACTCCAGACAGGGTTTACCATGGAGGGCCATAGTCTACTAGGAAGGGTCATAAGCTACCAGGCAGGGCCATTACTTTTATAGTAGGTGAGAAAGTCAGTATTTCACAGAAATTTTTAATAATCTAGCAGTTGTGATACAAATAAATGAAACCCAAGAAAATAAGTACATGTTCAGTCACTAGTTTGTTGAGTGTAGGTAATTGTACGAGGGTACACCCCCACGCTTACGGGCTTTTGATCCAAGGAATTTCCTCGTGTTCCCCTGGCTCTGTATGACCTCTACGTGTTTAGCGCTTCCCTGTCAATATGATGGAGGTTGTAAGATCGTGCACCACTTAGATATGTACATCAAACCAGTTCTATAAGGATTCAGCCTTTCCTGATGAGGAAGGGGGGTATGGTGCAATTGAAGGGCTCTCTAATTCCAAGGAATTTGAGTCAGTCCCTTCCTGGGGTCAAATATCCCCTCCAGTTTCCGAGGCGCTGTTGGTCTTTGGTTAGTCCTCTTAATAACCCAAAGAAAGTCGCACTGAGAAATCTTTTAGGCTGGATGAATTTTTTCCACTTAAACCCATTTTCCAATGAGAAATGCTAGATGCGCGTGGTTTGTATAATTCAAAATACATGTATACTTGATGTGAGGTGCTTGTTGGCAGTAGGTTTAGCTACTTGGAGGAAATAGAACACGGAGGCTACACTTTGCACCTAGTAGTAGAAGCAGCGGGAGCCAGCACAGGTGTGGGTAACATGTGTGGGGTCGGGGTGACCTTGTAAACATAGCTCTACTCTCATGGCTGCTCTGCTGGCGGTGTATCGCTCTTGGGGGTTTAACGATTTTCCGTGAATAATTTAATTCTCTGCTTAGTTTGGGACAGGGCCTTAAGGGTGGTCACCCCCGAAACCGTCTACAAGTAATCTAGCTCTTGGCCACTGTTGTGATCATGTACTCACCGAGTAGTGTTAATTAAATGAGATACTTGTGTAACATTTTAGTATCTTTATTCTGGAAACGTTTCGCCATCCAGTGGCTTCAGTCCAATGCAGTGAAAGGTGGAAGATGAGAGGAGTTTGAGGTAATCAGTTCCTCAGCCTGGAGTTGACGTGTTCAGTACATCAGTCAAGATTGATGGACTGAACACATCAATCAAGATTGATGGAGTGAACACAGTGAAGACTGACGGACCGAGCACATCGACCCCAGGCTGAGGGGCTGATTACTTCAAACTCCTCATTCTCCACCTTTCTCTGCATAGGATGCTGTATAGCCCTTGTGGCTTAGCGCTTCTTTTTGATTATAATAATAATCTGCATTGGATGAAGAAGTCACTGGCTGGTGAAACATTTCCAGAATAAAGATACCCAAATGTTGCACAGGTGTCTCATTTATCAACCTGTCGGTTTTCTAAACCATTTATTCAAAACACCGATTAGTGTTTGCAGGGGTCGATTGACAGCTGGCCACGCCTCTTAATTTGTTTATTTACTGGTAGATCAACCTGCCTACTCTTAAAATTGGGTATGGTGTTTACCTTGCGCTCCGTGTACTCAATACCTGAGTTTAAAAAAAAAATGCTTTCAATTCCCTGTGGCTTATGTGTCTTCAGCTGTCATGTGTCCTGACTGCTGGCATCTCAACTGCCGTGTCACTAGCCTCCTGCTAGCATCTCTGCTGCCATGTGTCACCAGGCTGCTGCTTACATCTCAGCTACCATGTGTTACCTGGCTACTGCTGGCATCTCAACTGCCATGTGTTACCTGGCTGCTGCTGGCATCTCAACTGCCATGTGTCACCTGGCTGCTGCTGGCATTTCTACTGCTTTGTGTCACCTGGCTGCTGCTGGCATCTCAGCTGCTGTGTGTCACCTGGCTGTTGCTGGCATCTCAGCTGCTGTGTGTCACCTGGCTGCTGCTGGCATCTCAACTGCCATGTGTTACCAGGCTGCTGCTGGCATTTCAACTGCCATGTGTGACCTGGCTGCTGCTGGCATCTCAGCTGCCATGTGTGACCTGGCTGCTGCTGGCATCTCAGCTGCCATGTGTTGCCTTGCTGCTGCTGGCATCTCAGCTTCCATGTGTCACCCGACTGCTGCTGGCATCTCAACTGCCATGTGTCACCCGACTGCTGCTGGCATCTCGGCTGCCATGTGTCACCTGACTGCTGCTGGCATCTTAGCTGCCGTGTCACCTGACTGCTGCTGGCATCTCAGCTGCCATGTGTCAACTGACTGCTGCTGGCATCTCAGCTGCCATGTGTCACCTGACTGCTGCTGGCATCTCAGCTGCCATGTGTCACCTGACTGCTGCTAGCGTCTCAGAGAGCTTGTCCTCAGCTTGTGTATGTGAACCATATTGTATAGTGGGATCTCGGGTGAGGTGAGCGTGTGGCACTTCCTGTAACATGATCCAGCGAGTGTTGCGTTACCTGCATAAGTGTGAGAACCAGTTGTGTCAGCCTCTAGCCTCACGCCCACAACCTGTCGCCTAACCTCTAGTGAAATTAATATTACAACTATTTCCACATGTAGTGCTAAATCCACAGGAGTCATACAGCGACTAGAGAATGGGAGACAGGTTTGGTCATAGGAAGGAAAGAGTAGCTCCAGTGTCTTAGGTAAGAACTCGTATGTCAAGATTCCTTGGCTCACAACCATGAAGAATCAGCTCCAGTGTAAAAAAAAAAAAAAATGCTGAGGAGGACAGGCGTGACCCATTTTGGCCATAATAATCTTCGACTGTGGCCTTACGGGATGGGTATAGGGTACATAATCGATATAAAATTAAAACCTTTTCTGCTCACCTTTTGATTTTCACGATGAGACGATGGTATTATTAACCCAGGATAGCCTAAGAAAGCCTTGTGTTGCCTGTTTTAGTTATGGTCCGTTTCCCTGGAATGCGACTTGCAAGTCAGTACATCCAGTAACCAATTTACTGCTGAGTGAACAAGGGCAGCAGAAATCGAACTTTTGTCTATTCGACTATTAGCTGAATGCTTTACAGCTGCGAGTCACCCCTTATGTCATATTTGACAGCTTGTGTAATAAGTAAGTAGACTTTGGAGGTCTGGCAGTAAGAGCAGAGATGAGTATAGCGAGCCTACAGTGAAAACCATGGATTTCCTTTTGAATTTATTGGGTGTGAGGGTGGGTAGCGTTATTTGGCGCGGTAGTATTTGTTCCGGGGTGGTGTAAGGTGCAGCGTGGGCCATATTTGGTGGAGTGCCCAGTACCAGACCAATATATTCACCAGAAGCGCTGCTGAGGGGAGAGGCGGCCGGCTTACTGGGCCTCCACTACAAATGCATTAGAAATAAATATGCACAGTTTAACCTTGTTGGGTTATCGTAGGTTAATTCTGTGTAGTGTATCATCATTGTTTTCCTATAATTATTATGTGCCATATATATTGTCAATGTTTCAAGGCATAATCGCCCTCCCGCAGCTGGGTCTAAGAGCAGGCCTCATAAATTGGAATGGAATTAGTACAGGAATAAAGA